ATATATATATATATATATATATATATATATACGTATATATATATATACATGTATATATATATATATATATATATATATATATATATATATATAAATTCTTTTCACACCTCCCTCAGATTGCTCTCTGTAGGTGAGAGCAATCTGGCTGCAATCTGGCTGCCACCTATAGCAGTACCCAAGGAGCTGGGGGTTAAGAGTCTTACTAAAGGACCTACAAATATGCTGATGCTGGACTCAAACTCAAAGGCTTAGTTCACACCCTACTGCAAATTCAAAATAAACATTTTATTCTTTTTTTCATTTAAAAAATGTTAAAAGGGGTCTGCTTATCTAAAAGATCTTATTAATCTTATAATCTTTCAGATAGTAGAATATATGCCTTGATGTCATGTAATATAATTAAAAATGTTTTACAGTAAAGCCATTTGCCAGAGGACTACTGGCTAGCTAATCTGAAATTATGTAGTTGTGGTGCTATTGGAGTCAGTAACTAAACCTTGTATCTTTCTCTCATCTATTATCAGGTGCTATCTATACCAGGGTAAACAGTGACAGAAAGTCATTGGTACAGAAAATGTAGTACATTATTGGCCAGATATTACATTATTGACTTTTACTTATTAGGTGAGCCGCCAGAATAAGTGCAGTTTATATTGACCCCTATGACAAAGAAAATCAAGGAGTATGTTACCCCACCCGGATTGAGGAGACCAGGGCCTCGCCCAGGAGCCAGGCCTGTGGCGGGAGCTCGTATGCAAGCACCTGGTGGCTGGGTCTCCACCCACGGGGTTCGACCAGGCATAGCCCAAAGGGGTAACATGAGTTTGTCATCCTGTGGGCCCCACCACCTGCAGGGGGAACCGTGGGGATCAGGTGCAGTATAGATCAGGTGGCAGTCGAAGGTTGGAGCCTCGACGAACCAATTGTCAGTTACCAAAACTGGGTCTCGGCACATGGAATGTAACCTTTCTGGTGGGAAGGGAGACTGAGCTAGTGCGGGAGGTAGAGAGATACCAACAAGATATAGTCAGGCTCACCTCAATGCACAGCTCAGGCTCTGGAACCAAACTCCTGGAGAGTGGCTGGACTCTATTTCACTCTGGATTTGCCCATAGTGAGAGGTGCTAGGCAGGTGTAGGGGGTGTTCTTAAGAGTGTTCATAAGTGTACTTGGCACCAGAGCACCCTAGGCCACAGTTTGATGATCGATTTTGTAATTGTGTCATCAGATCTGCATTCATATATTTTGGAAAATTGAGTGAAGAGAGGAGCTGAGCTGTCAACTGATCACCACCTGATGGTGAGTTGGATTTGATTTGATTGGGAGATGCCAAACGTATAATGTGGGTATGCTGGGAGCATCTGACAGAATCCCTTGTCTAGGAGATCTTTAACTGGTACATCCAACAGAACTTCAGAGCTGTGGCCGTAAGGTTGTTGATGCCTGTCATGGTGGCAATCCTCGAACCCGGTGGTAAAGGGAGCTGTCAGGCTGAAGAAGGAGTCCTTCTGAGCTTGGTTAGCTTGTGGAACTCCTGAAGCAGCTGACATGTATCAGTAGGTCAAGAGAAAAGCGGCTTTGGCGGTTGCTCATTCAAAAAATCAGGTGTGGGTGGAGTTTGGTGAGACTATGGAGTAGAACTTTCGGACGGGATCAAAAAGTTTCTGGCAAACCACCAAGCGACTTAACAGATTTACCCATGGGGAAGGAGAACTGTTGACATCAACTGGGGATAATGTCAGGTAGTGGAAGGATTATTTGGAGGATCTCCTGAATCTGGATGCCACACTGATGCGCCTTCCTTGGAGGAAGCAGAGCTGAAAGACTCAGAGGGGGACTTGCTCATCTCTAGGGCAGAGGTCATTGAAGTAGTCAAAAAACTCTTCGGTGGTAAGGCTCCAGGGGTGGATGAGATCTTGAAGGCTCTTATTGTTGTTGGGCTGTCTTGACTGAAATGCCTCTTCAACATTTCATGGACGATTGGGTAGTATCTTCTCGACTGGAAAAGGGTGGATTGCCCGCTCCTGGTGGGGGATGAGTTGCCCCAAGTGGAGGAGTATCTCGGGGTCTTGTTTACAGGTGAGGGAAGAAGGGAGCCAGAGATCAACAGGTGGATCAGTGCAGTGCTGTGGATGCTATACTGTTCAGTCATAGTGAAGAGAGAGCTGAGAGAAAGGTGAAGCTTTCGATTTATAAGATGAATGAGATGACAGATACAAGCGGGAGAAACGAGTTTCCTCCATAGGGTGTCTGGACACAGGCTTAGAGATACTGTAGGGTGAGGAGCTCAGACATTGGAGAGGGGCTCAAAGTAGAGCCTGTGAACTCCCATACTGCTGTGTATAACGCAGGACTCACCACCAGCGATATCAGTGTTTATAAAGCGGGTTCATACGGAGTATGGCGCGCTGTCAAGCTAGCAAAGGATGTTCAGTGTTACTTTCACCAGAGTGACGCGCAACGACTGTGGCACGGACTTTGAAAGCAAATCCACTGTGGCTTCAAGTGCCAACTCTGCTTTAGCTGACACTCGACGCGTTCTACGCCCGCTTTGAGGCTAATCATGCTACCGTTGGCTACTCAGCTAACACTAGCCACAGCCTGCTGGCGGAGCACAATGTCGTCATCAGCTTCGCAGAGCGCGACATGAGGAGGGCACTGCAGCGACTCAACACCAGGAAAGTGCTGGGGCCAGACGGCACCTCTGGGTGCCTGCTACGCTGCTTCACCAACCAGCTGACCAGAGTCTTAACCTCCATCTTCAACAAATCTCTGGCTCAGTCAGTGGTTCCCACCTGCTTTAAAAGATCCACAGTTGTACTGGTACCTAAGAACAGTAAGCCCTCGTGCCTGAATGACTACCGGTCAGCTGCACTAATGTCAGTGGTCATGAATGTTTTCGAGAGACTCATTAAAGACTTCATGATATCCTTCATTCCAAGCTCTACAGACCCACTCCAGTTCGCCTACCGCCCCAATAGATCTACAGATCACAGGCAGACTGCAGATGATGAGAGTAGGTGCCTGTGTCTCCAACACCATCACACTCAACACAGGGGCTCCTCAAGGTCTCATCTCCAACAACGATGAGGAGGTGGATAATCTGACATTGTGGTGCCAGGAGAACTGCCTCCAACTTAACGTCAGCAAGACTTAGGAGCTTGTGGCGATCCTATTCCCCCCTCTACATCAACAATACTGCAGTGGAAAGAGTGAGCGGCTTCAAATATCTAGGTGTATGCATCACTGAGGACCTGACATGGACAGAACACATCCAAGCCCAGTCCAGCAAGGCTAGGCAGCGTCTTTACCACCTAAGACAGCTGAAAAAGTTTCTGGTTTCTTCAGTGATTCTTAGGACTTTTTACTCTGGCGCTGTGGAAAATGTCCTGAGCCAGAACATCTGTTGGAATACAGTTTGTATTTAGTGCAACAACTACATATGTATGTACATAATATTGAGTACTGAGTTGTCTG